AGGAGACAAGCCGAATTGCAGTGGTTACAGGATCCAAGCGAAATATATGGGGATAATCTGAACAAGATAAGATGTGAAACCAGCTGGCATTTCAGGAATAAAAAGAGGGAATATCTGAAAGACAAAATTTATGAGCTTGCAAGTAACAGCAAGAACAAGGACATAACTTAATGAAGGATGAGGATGGTGATCTATTTGCAGATTCCCACAACATTTTGAATAGCTGGAGGAACTACTTCTCTGTTATTGAACGTTCGGCAGATAGAAATACGTAGGTAAGCCAATAAGTAAGTTAGGAATGGTTAGAGAACTTAAACAAATAAGATTACTGGCCTGAAAAATGCTTTTATTTCTCAATATAATCTCCCTGTGCATTGATGTACTTGTCCCATAATTTCACAAGCCCTGAAAACCAGTAGCATAAAATTCTCTGGGCTGCTGTCGGAACCAGGCGGTGACTGGGATCACGAAGGCACACCTCATTTGAGGCTCAAAGACCAACCGTAAAAGCCGACTCATATTGTAACATCCTCAGGAAACTTCATCAGGCCATTTAACAGAAACGACCAGGACAGCTCAATAAAGGAGTGTTGGTTTTGCATGACAACGCGCGTCCCCATAATGCCAACAAGATAAATGAGACGCTGCGAAATTTCAAGAGGGAAGTCCTCGAGCTTCCTCTGTTTTTGCCGTTTTTCCCGTCAGAGAGGATGTTACATAAAGACTATTACCGCAAGAGTTCAGTTGGGGAAAAAAAATCTGTGGTCGTAGGCCTCAAGGGGCCTGATGCCAAGACGAACTGATTGGCGGTAAACAGCCATTCGTAAAGTAATTCTGACTCTGACTCTGCGGGAAGTTCAGTTTTCAGTTTCTAGGTGACTCTGTGGAGTGTCCAGGAGAGCTCAACGTAACTGAGAGACTTGTGTAGAGTGCTTACAAGAGAAGTGAATAGGAGACCTCACATCTGTGTTATATTTGCACTAATCTTGAAAGTGTTACGGTGATTTGTAGTTACAAGTAGTGAGGATCCAACAAACCACTTCACCAATCCAAATCCGAGTCTAAGTCACGCAAACACTTGACAATATATAGAGGTTTCCTGTCAGTGAAGGCTCGTGCAGCAGGTTATGCTCAACTTGTGACACAACTCTGAAACTGCAGTTAGCTAGTTAGACAGCCGTAGGCTCCTTGTCCAGTACCACGTACATGTGGATTTACATGGTTTAGGATTACTTCTGCCTGTGTCCTGTATAAGTTAAGGAATTTTGATAGCCACGTGCAATTCGCGGACTGGTGTTCACCTGTCAAGATTTCCACTAGCGCGGAGTGCTCTGTTGTGCAGGCGCTGCAAATTCAAGAGGTAAGCGTCCATCGCATTATCCCAGGTGGGACTCGCAAGAGTTATAACTCACCTACTCAGAGGTTTGTAAAGCTTAAGTTTCATATTAATACTTAAACGCCTACTTGTGAACAGAGAATTGGGTACAGCACTTTCGAAGTGGTATCTCCATGTCGTCATCTTGTCGAAAGTGACACCGAAATACACTGCATTATTTACAAAGTAATATCCCGTCCGCTTACTTATAGTACGTCAGGCCCTCTAGAAGAACACACAGATCGCCTACTGCTTTCCTTCATTAGTCTTCATGTTCCAGCACTTACACCATGAATTCCCTGCAGTGAATCCGCGCTGCAGTTTACAGAGAACAGGACGCTCCTGTTTCTCTGCTGCGTAAATATGGGTATATTCCGCGAACAGAGTAAGATTAGTTCCAGGTGCCCCAGAGATATCATTTACGAACAGATTGCACAATACTGGGGCAAGGAAGGAACCTTGGAGAACCCCAGAGATATTTTTCTTGGCGTAGAAAATTCACATTCTATCAAGACTTTAAATTTTCTGTCGGTGAGAAAACGAAGTGATTAAACATGTTTCGATCCCCTAGTATAGTGTCTCAACAGTCAACAAAAACACAGCTCCCCATAACCCAATTATTGTTGTGTGCATAACTGTTGCTAAGCTTACGTGGAGTTTACTCTTCCGTAACCCCAACGTATTTTCTGACCGGCTTTCAGCGGGAATGCCACAGTATGAATTACCCACTGCAGAATAAGAACCGAAAACCTGTTATGTGATGATGTAAATGTTTACGTTACTAAGTGATGATGAGGCACCGTCGTTCCCACAGTGGATGCAGTATATCAGAGTATTCCCCGCAGGGTTGCTCTGCAGTAGGACAGCATATTCGCTCATATAGTTTTTATGTTATCATAGGGACCTCAAGACGTGAAGCAGACGAGCAGATCAGTGAGAAGGACTTCAAGTTGCAGTCCCTCTTGTCAGAGATGTGCTCCGATTGGAAAGACAATGATAAATTTAAGAAAGAGCAGACAGGACCATCTGTGGATCATGGAAAAGAGATAGAACAAGTATGTAGAATATAAGTAGATATATGTACATTTTAATGTTTAGTTAAGAATACAAAAGAAAATCGATTCTTGGCATTTGTTTTGCGCAATTGTACTATTCAATCGCCGATCACGGTGGCCACGCGGTCTGAGCCATGAACTCTCTTCCCTCGCTGGAACGTATGGGTCGTGGGTTCGAAACCCATTCAAGGAAAGGATGTCTGTGTGCGTTATTCTGTGTTTATGCTATCCTGTATGCAGGTAGCGGCCTTATGACAGGCTGATCACACACCAAAGGACGGTAGGCCACGTCATACACGAAACTTAACTGAAGCAATGAGAAGCTGTTAGCACCAAATGCAAGACGTTAGAGCATGAATGCATTACGGCGGGTAGAACAGCCAGGGGAAGGTGGCTATTCAGAAGACACAAGTAAAGAGAAGGATGATAAGTGAAACATTTTGAAAGTGAAGCAAACTTTGGTAGAATTGAGGTTATGAGAGCGGTGACAAGGAAACGTTGTACTTTATGGGAAGTGAAGCCGCGAATTCTAGTGTGAACCTTCACCAGATTCAGTGATTCAGTATTGAAGGGGTGTGTTTCCCCATGCACCGCGACTGATAGTCTATTGTACGTCCCCCTTTTAATTTCTACAGTCTCCATCCTCTACCGGTACTGGTGCTCGCTATTAGCCCCTTTCTGCCAGCAAGGTTTCTACCCTCTTACTTGGCACTGGTATCTAATAGTTAGTCCCTTTCTGTCAGCGAGGTCGCCCCTCCTCTGGCAGGGGTTCCTAGTCCCTCTCTGCCAGGAAGGTTTCTACCCTCTACTTGGCAGTGGTATCTAATACTTTAATCCCTTTCCGTCTGAGAGGTCGTCCCTCCTCTGGCAGTGGTATCTAATACTTCCCCATCTACCGGAGGCATTGGAAACTACTTTGGGCGGGAAATGTATTGCCTAATTTTGCTCAGCGGTCGCTTAGAGACATGAGGTTCGTTTACGTGCCGTAAATCTATGACACGGGACCCACGGCTTAAAGTCCCTCCCGGGGGACTTGTTCCCTGAATTTTTCCGTCCTTAGAAATTCCACGACCTCCGCCGGGTTTTGAACCTGCGTACCTTGAGTCATGAGGTGGGAACGTTACCCCTAGACTACGGAGGACGCTAAACTTTACCAGAGCATCATGTCCAAGACGAAAGTACTCATTTAAATTTTATAGGTAATTATGAAATTAATTCTAACAATATGATTTGGGGTATACGTGAATTGGAATGACTTTCGATAGCATCAAACACACGCTCTGAAATTAGTTCGTAGGCCTAATTAACCTGTGGAGTGACCACAGCAGTGACCTGAAGTTTGCAGATCATGAACTGCACCAGGCTGAAACTCTTGCTTTCGACAGGGTTCAGAATATACAGAATTGTAAAGGATATACATTTCAGGAGCTATGTATACAGAATGTCCCAGGAGGAAAGGTCAATATCCTGGTATTCTAAGCAAAAACAAAGTGTATATGTACATGTGTTCTATACAGAACTGTCTCCTAGATAGAGCTATTGCACTGAAGAGTTATTTGTATTTGATGTCCAATATATATTTCCCTTCCGCCATACTGCACCACGCTCTGAAGCATGTGAATCGCTGTGATGCGTGAGTTTGCGTTCTGACTGTTGATAGTGACATTGCTGGAGTGTTGTGAAAAATGCCGAACATCTTCACAAACGCCGATATGCGGTACAATGTCCTCACACGAACTGCAAATGCACTGATATCGACGGAGAAATTTTCGAAAATGTATTATACGTTACTAGGTAAACTGTACCAACTTTGTCACTTTAACAATGAACACCGGTATCAGAAACAGTACGTAATTCATTTTCTCTGTCACTGAAACAATTCGGAATAGGAGACACATACATATTGTAACGTGGATAGACACAGCGTTGCTAGGTAACTGACAGTTATACACGTCGCGCCATGGAAGGCAAGAGTGGGAGTGCGGCGTTTCCTATGCGGTCGGCACTCGCTCGGTAAACATGTTCCAACCATATATAACGAGAATAACCTTTCTAGGGGCGCGGTCCAATACCTCCAACGTGACTTTGCGAGTCGTCGGAGGCAACGAAAACGGAAGTCCCAAATCTGAGACAATAAAATATGGTCACGAGAAAGCCTTTTGCTGGCAAGATCCAGCAGCATGTACAATGATAGACCGGTCCTCTCGTCAGAGAGGGGGGCCCGCAAAAAACAAAACCTCAACTGTCAAACAGTAATAAATATCTGGTCCTGACCCCCAGATGGGGATCGAAACCAAGACTTAATGACTGACTGTCAGTCAAAATGTGACTTCGACTTTAAGTTCAGTTTAGTGTGTTTCAGTGTTTCCGTGTGTTTAAGTAACAGTAAGAGTGACAGCAGCGGGAAGTTCTTAAGAGACCTGTGAAGATTTAAAATGTGATTTGAAGACTTTAATTATGTGCAATATTTGGAGTGATTTGAAGGCTAATTTCTGTGTTGAGATACGTCCGACTTTCCGAAACGGAAAAAATAGGAAATGCATAGGGAGTAAGAGCCGGATATGGGGTAGAACCGACCACTCCAGGAGATATAGCCCCCACTGGTGTGAGAGAGAGAGAACTTTGGATGATGGTGATACAGCTGGATCTCCTGGTACCTTGACTGAACCGCTAGGGACGAGCTGGCCTTAAGGAGGGAGTGAGCTGATGCAGCGGTTGGAGAACGGACAACAGGAAGGAAATAAACACCAAGCTAGAGAAAAAGAAGACGTTGCAAGCACAGTCCTCGGAAGGAAAGGAAAGGTGATGCACCGATAGGCTATTCGGGACGAACGGCCGTAAAGAGGGAGCAATATAACGTGGATGGTCATAGCGTTGCTAGGTAGCTGACCATTAAACACCTAGCGACCGAATACACGCAAGAAAACAATGGGAGTGCGGCTTTTTCTATCCGGTCGGCGCGACTGTTGCTATGCAACGGTCACGGCAATGCAACTATGCGGAAGTTATATAACGAGAATAACGCCAGCAGTTCGGTTTAGTGTGTTTCACTATTTGAGAGTGATTGAGTATGTTTAAGTAACAGTAATAGCGACAGCAACGGAAAGTTCGTAGGAGACGTGTGAGGATTTTCGTAAAGTGTGATTTGAAGATTTTAATTGTGTGCAATATAGAGCCGGGATAGTGTAGTCGCTATAGCGCCTGGTTACGGACTGGAAGGTAGAGGGTTCCGAGTTCGAGTCTTGATGGGGGCAAGAATTTTCTCTCCTCCAATTCGTCCAGACTGGCTCTGGGGTCCACCTACCCTCCTATCCATTGGGTAGCGGGGACCCTTTCCCAGGGGGTAAAGCGGCAGGGGCGTGAAGCTGACCACTCGCCTCCAACTAGTGACGAGGTCAAGAAAGTGGGGATCTATACATCCACACCCCCATACGTCTACATGGCATAGTGCTTAATTAGTTGGGCACAGGGACAACTCTACCTCTACCTTCAATTATGTGCAATATTTGGAGCGACTTGGAGCAGCTGAGATATGTTACCCGGAGAGGATTAGTGTGTGCGCGGAACAGAGATTTGTGAAGTCTGTAAATGAGCGATAGCGCTCTAATTGAAGTGTGCTTAAGAGAGAGTGTGAAGCCAAGGTGTTAATAAATCCAATCGTCCGAATTAGAACCGTCATTTCGTTAAGCGTAACCTCCTGCACGTGAAAATATAGTTTTTATTTTTGGCTTAGAATGACCGATACTACGACCACCCAGAATAGTGACCTTTCCTCCTGGAATATTCTGTAGTCGTACATGAATTTACACATTTTTCTTTATATCCTTAGGAAGAAACTGACAAGGAGGCGAGAAAGCAGAAAAAAAGGAAAATCGACGCTGAAGAGGACACGACGGAAGGCACTGCAGAACCTTCACATCTGGAACGGAAAGATGATTCAAAAAAAGACACAGTACAAGTTGTTGCTGGGGAAGAGAGAAAGAGTGTGGGTACATCTCATCAACGAAGGAAACGCAAAGCAACACAAGATTCAGACTCTACAATTACATGCCCAGTGTCCAAAATACCTGAAAGGAGGTGCAACTGGGTTGGAACACTGGACAGTTTACATCGCCACGTCACCTGCGACCACTGGGGTATCTACAGGAGCGGCCCTATTTTCCGCTGCGGGTCTTTCCAGAACAAGGTTCTGCTAATTTTATTCAACCAAGAAATATTTCTGTACTATAAGCATGTTACATACACTGGCATAGTGTACGCGGTCGTGCAGCAAGTCGGTGTTACTAACAAGGAATTTAAGTACACAATAAAGCTCCGGGCAGAGGATGAAACAGTGGAAAACATTACTTTTAGCTTTAAAACAGAGAAGACAAGTGAGCCTCTTGAAATCATTTTCGATGCCCGCAGGTGCATGGCTATGACCGACGAGAGTTTGATACCGTTTGTAGCAAAACATGAATTAAACATGACGGTGAAAATAAGCGAAACTGCTACACACAGCGATAGGCCGACTGAAGTCACTAAGGGAGTTAACACGGGAAAAAGGAAGAAGATGAGAGCTCATCAGGAAGAGAAAGCTGGTTCAGTCGCAAAGGGAGACGTAAAAACGACTTCTGCAGTTACATGTCCGTTGTTGAAGATACCACAATATTCCTGCGATTGGGCTGGCTCATTAAAGGACTTAGAGGCTCACGTGATACAACACCATGCGAGGATTCTGATTCAGAGTAATGTTTTCCAATGCAGTGCCCTTGAACATAAAGTTTTGCTAATACTATTTAACAAAGAAATATTCCTATATTACAAATATATCTCAACAGGTGGTGTAACTTATGTAATTGTACAGCAAGTTGGAGTTACTAGAGAAAAATACAGGTATACAGTCAATTTTTTTGGAGACGATTACACAGACGAAATAATCCTTGACTTCGCTGTGCAAGATATTAGTGAACCTCTTGACAAAGCCTTCAAATCTGGCAAGTGCCTAACCATGACAAAAGAACGTCTGCAGCCTTTCATAAGAGGAGACAAAATGGTAATGACAGTGAAAATAGAGAAAGTGGTGACACATGTGCAGATGGATGGCACTGTTACGTGCCCCTTGCTTAAAATTTCTGACCATTTTTGCTCCTCAGTTGCTAGAATCGGTAATTTAGAGAAACACGTTGAAGAGGAACATGGAGACCTTCTGAGAAGAAGTTGTGACTTTGAATGTGCATCTCTAACCAACAAAGCTTTGTTGGTGTTGGATTATAACGAAATGTTTCTGTACTATAAACATATTTCACAGAGTGGTGTCATGTTCATAATAGTTCAGCAAGTGGGCCTTACGAATGGGAAATATGGATACACGGTAAAACTCAACGCGAGGAATGAAGAAGATGACATAAGACGTCAATTTAATGCATATAAGATTACTGAGCCCTTTGGGCCCATTTTCGATAATCGCAGATGCATGGTTATTCCTATAGATAACTTGGGTCCTTACATAGAAAGTGGATATCTAGCACTGTCTGTAGTAATATACCAACTTTCTTCTTGTGAGCAGGATACAGATGAGTCTGAGTCAGATGAAGACGATATTGAAGGAGAGGCAAACGAACATGTTAACACAATCTGCCCCTTAAAGAAGATTCCAGAAAAATCGTGCCCCTGGGTTGGACCCATCCGCTGTTTATACAAGCACGCAGACAAGTTCCACGAGGATGTTCTGAAGAAATGTTTTTCTTTTCCTTGCAATTCTCTTCAAGATAAAGCCTTTTTAATATTATTGCAGGGAGAAATATTTCTCTACTATAAACATTTTTCACAGGCCGGTATTATGTACGCGGTTATACAGCAAGTTGGTCTTACAAAGAACAAATACAAGTACTCAATAGAGATTCCCTCATTAGACAGAACAGCTGGCTCCATTACTTTTACGTCTCTTGTGGGCAGGATTAGTGAGCCTTTTCAAGACATTTTCAATGCTCAGGGGTGCCTGGTTGTTAGTAGTGAAAGGTTGGTACCTTATGTATTATATCATGAAATATGCATGTTCGTGACAATATCAGGATTACCTCGATAATGACAGAAAGAATCGACTACATCCTCCCGTCAGTGCTAATATCGAACGTAACATGTCAACGCAAACGTTAGATGGAAGGTCGCGGTGCCATATTAACCTACGTCGACTTGCAAGAGGGTATAGACGCGAAATCTCTTTTTTCTGGGCCTAGTAGAGAGTTAAGTTCTCACATCTGGTCTGCCAGTGTTTATATCTCCTGAGCTCATGTATACCAGTTGGATCGCAGTCGTTAAATAATTCAAATAATGATCATATATCGCGGTGAGCTGAGATTGGTTAGATGATGTCGATCCCCCACCTTCCACAGGTGCGCATGTTCCAAATTACTAAAAGGGCAAAGGAGTTAACTGTATCCTATTGACAGGAGTATAACTTACCATTACATTATGTTGATTTCTTTTGTGAACCAATCTTCAGCTCTAGCCAGACTTACCAATATTTTGACACACTTCCTCAGAATGTAGTCAACTGTTTGTATATTAAAACATGTTTTAATTTAATAAAAAAAACGTGAATATTATTTAAATTAAAAATCAAGGTGTGATATTGCTTTCTACTTTCTAACTAAGCAGACACAAGAAAATCACATTATATTAAATCGCGTACAAAACTGCCAGGAGAAATTTAAATGTCATATTTTAACGTTAGTTTCAGGATCCCTTGAATTGATTCATTTGCAGGTGAGAAGTTTAATCCTACGGAGAATATCTAACTCTTTGGCATGCCTTTTGCTCTGTACTGCATGCAGTGTTTACATTGAATAATGATAAATTAGTTTTAAATAAAATAAAATCAGTGTGAACAGTTTCCTTATCTGAGGTATCTGTGAAATTAGATACAACATAGCGTATAATATTAAATTGTTTACAACGCTGACAGTGCGAGAACTGCATTATCTGACTGTGATTGAATATTGAGATTTCTTAAATTGTTATACTAATGAACTAGCTCCGTCGCTATGGATCATGCTAGAGCAGGATTTTCTAGTGACTATTTGCAGACGCACTGAATATGTTTTTAATTACTGTTAAGTAATTTTTCACAGCATAAAGTCAATTAAATTAAAGGATATGGTTTTATTGTGTCACGTTACGTGTTTAGGGCAGGCGACGTCGAGAACACTTTAAGGAAAATGTTTCATATTGGGAGCAGAAGTGATAAGTACATGGCCATGTTTGTTGGTTTTCACATTTTTTTAAATGTACTAATGTTGTGAGTAATTTATTCATATAACACACAAATTCTGCAACCATGTGTTCTTTTGCCATGTTCTGATTCGGTTTTAAGACTGTTATATGAGTATTAATTAATGATAATATGTTTTAATTGCAATAAACGTCAGATTTTAAATTTCTTACTTTATGTATATGAAAACATAGACACCAAGTGGGCTCTTGTATTACATGATATATACGATGACATGCTGAATAAATCCGTTTAATTTCAATTTTAATTCGCAGCTCTGGTAGCCAAGGGAATATCTTGCATTGAGGCAGTTCTATCTTCTGGGATATTAAGCCTTGTATTCCATGAGACAGAATTAAGAACCTGCATATGCATGTATACACGTAATAATGATTGAGGGCCGCAGATGTCACAGATTCATCCATTACGCACACCACGAACTGGAAAAGTTCTGGAAGGATGGCTTCACAGGTTCACCAATCTTGTTGTTCCTTGGCAAAGATCGACACTTCAACATAAACTGAACCATTAGTTTAAAATTCCGGTGAAATTATTGCGAAAAATCCCATTTCCTTACATAGGACTTCCATTTCTCCAACCTTTACACGCAATGGCCTTTGATATGTGGGGATATTCTAGATCCATACCAGGAAATTCTGTTTGGAATATTTTTATAAACAGTTGTAAATATAGCGAGGTTACGGATCTTTAAGATTACGCCACAGAATGATAACCGTAATCAAATTTGTAACCGAGTTGTTTTGAAAAGCCGAAATAGCTGAATACAGCAATAATACAGGCATACTTCGGATATATTGCAGGTTCGGTTCCAGATCACTGCAATAAAGCGATTCACACGAATGTTTTGGTTTCCCAGTGTTTACACTACACTGTAGTCTAGTAAGTGTGAAATAGCATTATGTGTACGAAACACCATGAACAATCATTTAATTAAAAATACTTTATTGCTAAAATTGCTAATCATCATCTGAGCTTTCGGCGAGCCGTCATATTTTTGCTGATGGAGAATCTTGTCTTAATGGCTGCTGACTGTGGCAATTTCTTAAGATAAGACAACAGTGAAGTTTGCTGAATCGATTCACTCCTCCCTTCACTACAGATTTCTCTGTAGCATGCGATGTTGTTTGACAGCATTTTACCTACAATAGAATTTATTTCAAAACTGGAGCCAGTCCTTTGAAACCCTACCGTTCCCTTCTCAGAAACCTAGCTTTCGGCCTATCTCGGCTTTCGACATGCCTTCCTCACTGAGCTTAATCATTTCTAGCTTTTGATTTAAAGTGAGAAGCGTGTGGAACACTCAGAGGCCATATAAGGGCGCGATTCGTGGCAGCCCAAAATAATTACAATAGTAACATCAAAGATCACTGAGCACACATCGCCATAACAGGTATAACAACA